GTTAGGAATGTTTGTTGATGAGTAGTAACCTTTAGCTTATGTCTGGGTGTGCTTAAATCTAATACATTGTAGTTTTAAATAAGAGCACTCTTACGTGAATTAATCTTTCATCAGAGAGAATTGTTGTGTTCCCACAGACTTATTCCTGACACTGCCTAGACTGCAACAGTTAAGTTACCACTGCTTTGGGTTCTGAAAGCCCTGGGTAGCAGTGTGATGAGGTTTCAGAGTAGCAGCTGTGTTAGTCTGTATCCGCAAAAAGAACAGGAGTACTTGTGGCACCTTAGAGACTATCAAATTTATTAGAGCATAAGTGTGATGAGGCTCAGTTAAATCGTAATTGTAAGACACTTGGACATTCTCAGCTGGAAGGGACTACCAAAGTACACAAATTTATGGCATGTTAATCCATTCCTATGCTGCTTATAAAAAGGGTTGGGTGGCACCTTGCAATGTGCTCTGTGTAGAACAAGAGGAGGGGCTACATTGTGACTCCCGCAGTCACAGTCTAGTACCTGCCTCCCCTTTGCTTCATGGTGGAAGTAAGCTGTGGCAACCCTTTATTTATTACTCTAGTGCCTAGAGGCCAGGATGCCAATGTGCTAGATGCTGTACAAACGCAGAACAAAAAGTTGGTCCCTGCCTCAAGGGGCTTACATTGCCAGAGCTTTGCGAGAGGAACCAGGTATACCGTATAAACTTATATCAGTATAATGACCTCGCTCAGGGGTGTGAAGAAATTGAAATGTCCAGATTTCTTTTTATATTCTCCAAGTGAGAGATGCAGGATATCATGTGTAATGCCAGTTCTAGTGCTATTATGTTAATGGTAACTGAATAAAAGCCTAATATTTCTCATGTCCACTTAGGCAGCTGAGAAAATATTTTGGGGGGGAGTAACGGAGGAGGGAAATGTTAGCACTGTTAATTTTTTCTTCTTTCCTTTCATTATTGCTGCCCACTTTCCAAATGGAACACAAGCCACTTCCAAATTCTGCAGAGGAATTATCCGCCAAAATTTACCCTAGGGTTTCATTATTTATAAAATTGTGAAAGCCAGTTTATATTATGTATGTGTGGATGCCTGGATTGCCTAATTCTTGTCTCTTTCTAAGTGTTTCAGTCAAGCCAACTACTCACTCCACTTTGAATTAATTAGCATTGCCAGGAGATGGTCTTGCAGAGTGATAAAATAGATGAGGCAGGAGGAGCAGATGATATGGGACATGTATAGTTTAATTTTAGCCCTATTTATTGGGTTGAAAATCCAATTCCCCATTAACAGATTTTTTTAAAATATATATATATAAAACCATGGAAGGAGGCTATTCTTGAACAAAGTTACATCATCAGGGAAGAAAAGTGGAAAGAAATGAATTAGTTCTAAGTATTGTGGCTTTGAACTACTGAGTAGCAATTAATGTGTGACATTGATAGTTTAGTATACTTTCAGTACTCTCTTGCAGAAGAAGCAGCTGTGCAATTATAACCTAACCTCTAGCTCAAGAGGTTAATAAATGCATGAGAGTTCTGAAAGCTTTCTTATATACAAAGAATCCTAACTTATCCAAAACTTCTGAGGATTTTACTTGGATTTGGAGGGTGGGGGGTGAACCAGGAATGTAGGATCAGGCCCAAAAGAAGCATGATGTGATCTGGTTATTAATGTAGCTGTTTTCAATTTTTAATGACTGCTGTAGGAAAGAGAAATAACTACCTATAGTTAAGCATATTAAATAATTCTACCTATAGTTAAGAGAATCAATCATAAGGCAAACATGAATCTATCAAGTACATCAATGTAATCTAATAATGGGGTTAAAATAATTAATCTTTTTTCTAACACTTCAACAGAGATGTAGAGTGAAGTAGGATTTACATTCTTTTGCCTGCTGAGACACAAGGTATTTTTAATTTTCTTTCCGACTTCTCTTTGTTTCTCAATTTATACACCCAAAAGGTGTATGAATTCAGGGACACTGCAAAAAAAGAATGAGTTATAGTCTAAATTCTTAATTTTCCACTTCATTACCAAGTACTCTCTGACCTCATTTACTTCAGTGCCATATTTTTCTCTGGCCAATGTATTATCTTTAGTATTTTTCATTTTATATAAAATACGGTGATATCCAAAGAACATTAGAGTGAAATAATTATTTTTTATCTTTCTGAAAAACTAATCATTACAAATAACCCTCTCTCTTCCAACATAAAGTAAGAAAAGAAAAAGAAAAAGAAACCTACTATTCATTAATATAATCAGAAAGGGTATAATTCCAGACAATTAAAATGATACATTTTAGACTTAAAGAGCCAAGATTATTATATACTTTCAGCAATACTACGAGAACATCAATAATCTGTTTTTTTTAAATGTTACAGGATATTATTATTCTGAATTTCTTAGACCTCTATATTTCATAGAAATAACTATAAGTTATAAGTAGACTAAATGCTACTTGCTGGATACATTAGCTTTATATTAAATACTATAATAGTATATTAAAACACATAAATAGGAATTCATCTTGTAAGGATTGGCTCTGAGCCCAGAAAATGAAGAAATTCAAAGATACAGTATTGGAGAAATTGTCCTTTAGTCAGTGCCTTAAATCTAGGGGCCAGATCCTCAGATGGTGAAGCTATGGAAAAATTACATCAGCTAGCAATCTGATCCTTTTTATTCCAGTTACTCACCTCAACCCCCACCCCAGGTACCAGCTTCCTGTCCAGGACTTTGTCCAATGAACTGCAGTCTTGATTTTCATCAGATGCTGCAGTACCACAACTTCATTGTGTCTGCGTATGTGGAGATGAATGTGGAATTTGATGTTCCAGGAATCCTATTTATTTGGTCTGCCACCAAAATTTCATCATAAAATGATGTTGTGACTAGGTCCTAGAGCATTAACTATTTATAAGATTATCCTGGAAAGCAAATATGAAAAGTCCTGGTTTTGACATGGCAAAAAATGCAAAGTTCATATTTTTAATTTTTGTTAAATGGGAATGTTGTGGCACACAACATTTTAATTACTACATTTATTTTCCACTAAAAAAAGGGTAAAGAAACTGACATTAATTGATTGAGATGGGGGAGAGAGAGAGAAAGGGTAAAAAAAAAACATTTCCAGACAGCAAAACCCCAGAACAGATGTAATGTACGTATACCTAGTGGCAATCACACTAGATTTGAAAAAAGGCCATGGGTGACATCCCAGTCTCATTGAAATCAATGGTAAAACTTCCATTGAAGTCAAGGGGCCAGGATTCCACAAAGGCTGCTGCAGATTTAAAAGAATCAATATGGTGCCTTATCTTTGTCCATTGCAGGGAGGCGATCAACAGCTAACTATGCAGGGTAACTAATAGTACTTCATATTTGATTAATACCAATGTCTGTTCATAGTTCAGTGAAATGGTAAGAGCTGATACATCCTGTTCTCAACACATGTTCACCCCATTATATTGGCAGCCCCTGGGTTAGTTGTTCAAAACTCTCCTCTTTTCTGGAGATTTCCTTTGTTTAGTAACAACAAAACTTACTGTACACATCAGCCTAAACTAGTTGCTTGATTTTACCCTCAGGATCCTTCCTTCCTTGCCCCAGTTTCCTCCGCCTCAGCATCAGACACCTCTCAAACCTTCCTTGTGTCTGGGTTGGAAGCTAACAGGACCCTCCTGACCTGGCTGTGAGGATGTCAACAGAAATAACTCAGCATCTCTGTGCAGGGTCCTGAGTTTTAGCATCTGCCACCTGACATAGAGCTATATAAAGTAAAGAGACAGTACAATATTGTATTGCATGTTATCTGAAAATTGCCCATGAGCTGGGGACAGTTACAATAGGCTATCAAGACAAGTTACTGATATTATTATTAGTGCTAGCAGCCCTACTGAAAACTGACATACAGCAGCTTCTCATTCCGAAATCTCTCAACGTCTCACTTTTCCAGAGGCAATTTCATGCAGTATGCGTGATTAAGCAATATACATACTTTAAAATTCTCTGTGACTGAAATGGAATTGGAAGACAGACTCCCAAACAATGTAATGTACCCTTAGCTATAGCAAGATAGACGAAGAGATTCTGGTCAGATAAAACGTAACTGGATTGTGATTTTACAATCAGCTCTAGGCACTACTAAATTAGCTACCATTATTGCTTAGCAGAGGTCTTAGCAGAGATATCTATTACAGCTCCCGGGCATTTTCTAGATCCTCCCTCCAATGTTATACCTAAAAGTCAAGACTAGCAAAAGTGGAGAGGACTTGTCAGCTGCTAACTGTTCCCTCTGTCTGTTACCCCAGTAAAGAAAATACTTTTTTACTGCTGTAACAACAGTTTAAAAGGTCTGTGTTGTTTCCTTCTTTTCACCATTTTCCTCAGGTTCTTGCTCCTAATCACTTGATGTCAGCTTCTGCTTAAACTCAACTACTCTGTCAGGATGTACATGTAAAGTGAGTAGCTCAATGGATTGGTATTTGGAGTTTTCTTCTAGGTCCTGTACTTGTTGAAGATTGGTTGTGGTTGAGTGGTAGCATGGCGAGGGTGTTCAGTGGCCTATGTGAAATTAATTTGCTTCATTTCAGTTCCAAGTACATGGCTCGAAATGCTGAAACAGATTGAACTTGGAGAAATTTGGATCTGAATCCAAATCTAAACTTCCAGGCTGGGCCCTATTTTTATAATGGCCTAAACCACAATGCTGGATGTGACCACCCCAGAATTCTATGAATGTTTGGATCTGCATGCATTTGCAGCTTGGGGTTATCACTAGTCCCTTGTGGACAGGTATCCACATAATAAAATCCAGCATCACAATGAGTGCTAATTAGCACCAATGTTGGTAATCTCAGCAAAGAGCTCATGAGTTATATAGACATGGGCACTGAACTGCCTTGTACTCTTAAAAGGGGCCCCAGCAACCCAGGGATGCAACATCACAAAGCCTGCATGATACTCACACATCTGCATGTCCTGTCGTATATCCCCACAGCCCAGAAGGAACCTCATGTATCCAAGATGTCCATCTGCTGCTGTGGTGCAAGGCAAACAGCTCCCCATCTTCTGGCTCAAAGCCATCTTGATGCAGCAGAATGGAGAGACTGGCCAGTGAGTATGCAAAATAACTAATTTATACTAACAGGGGAGATGGAGGAGGGTGTAAAAAACCTAGGCGCATGTATGACTTATGTAATATCTTCCTTCACTTCCAGCAGTTTTACACCATCTTATCTCTTATTTATTTCAATGGAGTTATGCCTGAGATACATCAGTGTAAGTGAAATGAGAACTGAGCCCATGCTAAGTTATGTCACCTCAAAATTTCCCTTTGCTATCACCTTCGTAGAAAGCACCCCATTCTGCCATTAGATAAATCTGTGCATATCCATTTGGGCAAGATTTTGCTCTCAGTACATCACAAGTAACTTCACTGGCTTAACCCGAGTCACTCCAGCTATATGGTGGAGAAAATCAGAGAAAGATTTGGCCTTAGTAGAAAGGACAGAATGAAACGGGAATATTCCTGGTAGGACATTCCATTTTGAAGATGGCTCAGGACTGCGCTATAGCTTTTTGAATGTTTTATTGAATCCTGACAGTGGTTTCCAGTAGAAGTAAATGAAATGTTCTTTTCTCCTGATACCTTTTCATACTTACAGTGTGTATCACAGATTAATAATATTGTGGAATGGCTTATTCTATCTTGACAGAGACAAATAATTTGTATATATTTAGGAATGATTCACTTGCAAAGCTACTGAGTTTTTGTCTTTGCCTCATTTACCTATATCTACTTATATAGGCCAGTTTTGATGAGATTCATAATTCAGGACTTTTTCTTCTTTTTCAGGCCCTGTAGTCCCACTTCACTATATAAAAACAGCTATCCTTAGTGATTGGTGGACAACAATATGCTTTGACATGTGTGATGCCCTGTGGGTTGTGGTTATGATTACTTTGATAGCACTATAAGTGTTCACATCACTTTACAAAACACGAACTGCCCTGAGGAACTTACAGTCTAAATTGGTTGGAACAATACAATTAAAGGATAATGTGTATGGGTGGCAAGAGACATACACATAGACAATTGGAGATGTGTAATGCCCAACAGGTAAAGTAAAGGAACTTGAAATTGATGTGGAAAAGAAATAGAATCTAGGGAAGTGATGTAATGACAGGAGAAGATTTTGGCACTAGTATTTTGGACAATCTGGAGAGGTGATGAGGTAGATATGTGGAGATTATAGTAGTCAGTAGGCATGTGGTCATGAAGGCATGAATCAGATTTTTATTTGAAACAGAGAGGAAGTAATGGATTTTAGAGATGTTATAGGATGTGTCTTCACTGCAACCTAAGCCCACACTTGAGCTCAGGCTCAAACCTAACCCCCCCTCCACCCCACCGGTGTCTATACTGCAGTTGTCCTAACCCAGGGCTTAGACCCAGAGTTCCAGGACTCTGCAGGGCTGGAGGGTCTGAGCTTGAGTTAAGATGGGACACAGAATTTGAGCACTATGCTTTGCTGTGTACATGCAAACCCACTTGACTTGGGTTCTGGGAGTCAGACAGAAGTATCCCACAATTCCATGGGACAATTTCCTTAGTCCTCTCTATCCCAACAATCTGCAGTCCACTGTATCAAAAATGGAAGCCACCCCACCTTCTTTGTGAATGGCAGCAGCTCAGGTTAGCGTTAACCCATTCTCTTCTGATCACCAGTCTGCAAGAGCACTATCAGAAAGCCTCCTGGGTTTGCAATAGAGAGCAAACTGATCAAGCATTTTGCAAATCGAGCTGCTTCCTGGTAACATGCAAGGTGGGCAGCAAAGTTTTCCCTCAGTGCAACATGGTCCTAGGGCTACAACGGCCACATTTCAGGGTATGGAAGGATGTTAGGGAACATCCTTTACTTTGACTGGGGTCTGCACACTGCAGTGTGACTGCCAGAGCCCTAGGTTTGAGCATGGGCTAGAAAAAAAATCTTAACATAGAGTTAAAATACAATGCAGAAGCTCAAGACCAGAGTTCCCTAACATGGATCAGATGACTTACATTTCAGTGTAGACACACCCAAAGTCACAGGACTTTTAAAGAACCTGGATGTGAGAGGTGAATAATAACAAAAAATGTGGAAGAGGAAGTCAGGGTTGGGAAGCCACCTCAACAACCTTTACTGATGGTAGACAGGACAGTGCTATTATCAAGAGTCAAAGAGAAGGGAGTGAGGAATGAAGGCTTGGATGTAATATTGTTATTTAAAAGGAATCATGTGAATTCCGTGGCCATTTAAAACTCAGAAGAATCAAAAGCCACAATATTATGGAGGTATTATAGCAAAAGAAGAAGAATAAAAGAAAATAAAGAACCATGGAAATATCATTTGATTCTTGCCTTTCAAGAACTTCAGCTTGCTGATTGTTGGTTGTACATACTGATAAATTGCTCTTATTGTTGAGTGTTCTCTACAGCTGTTATTCTTTGGCAGGTATTTTGGAGGCAATTAAGAATCAAAGGACGAGATGAGAATCTGAAGTGCATGGTGCCCACTGCTGCAAATCTTGAAACATTCAGTACTCCCTGATGGTAGATTTTTCCTGTTACCTAAACACATTGCACATCTGGGATTAGAATTTGTTCCAAAGTGTAATTTTCAAGTTAAAATTATTAAATCCTGGAAGGTATTATTTTCTATGAGCTCACATATTAAAAATGTGTTGACTATATTGATTTAGAGACTGTGGTGCTTGGTTTCATTCTCCTTTCTTCCTGGATCCAGGAAGATGACATCACTGAAAATGCAACAGGAGATAATATTTGCTGCTAAAAATAGAAGACATCTGCTTAAATTGATTGCTGCTTCTGCTCAAAACAGCAACAATCTCAGAAAATTTCCAGCTGCTGACCAAGTTCAAAGAACACACAGCACTTCCCAGGAGTCTCCAAATCTGAGATGGCAGGAGCAGGCCTACACTAGGGTCAAGCACTAGACAGACCCAGGGCTTGTTTACACTTATAGCGCAGCTACGCCACTGTAGCACTTAGTGAAGATGCTAGCTACGCAGATGGGAGAACTTCTCCCCCTAACTATTATACAATGTAGTTATTTCATTTACCCTTTCATCAGTTCCCCATATCAGAATCTACTGTTGATTTTATTTCCTCATCTCACCTGCCTTTATTATTCTGATGTCCCTCCTCCTACTTTGTTGACCGATTCTGCTTCCTCAGATTCTATCTCTATTCTTAAAAGACAGCTATGTGGATACCTGGAAAACTGTCTCCCTGTCACAGGGCTGGTACACCTCAGCACCCCTGGGGAAGAAGGGGGGGAGGGATGTTGTGTCCCCACAGGTGAGGCTGTATGACAGCCCCTGGCTTCCGGGCGGTACAGTCCAATGACCAGGGTCAATAGAGTGTCCTCCCTCGCAGGGCTGCGTGGCCTAGTGCCCAGAGTCAATATGGAGGCCCTCCCTTTCAGGGCTGCATGGCCCAATGGCTATAGTCTATATGGATCCCTTCCTTCACAGGGCTGTGTGGCCTAGTGGTCAGAGTCTGTAGAGTTGCCCTTCTTCACAAGGCTGCATGGCCCAGTGACCAGAGTCAATATGGCTGCCTTCCTCACAGGGCTGGGTGGTTCAATGGCCATAGTCAATGGGGCTTGAGTGGCAGGGACAGCATGGCCAGACAGCTGGGGTGGCTGGGGAAGTGGGCCACTACCTCAGGGCTGGTAGCAGCAGGGAAGGGGAACGCAGGCCCTCCCTACTCCACCAGGTCCCACCCCAGGGCCTTGGCAGTGGTGGGGTTGTCTGCCACCTGCTCAGCGGGGATCCTGCTGAAACGCACTGAGCCAAGTCCCAGTTCTATGACGGGTTACCCATTAAGTTTCCCTGGGTTACTTCCTACCCTTTCCTTCACAGCTAGTCGTCTCGGGGATCCCACGGCTTCTCCTCCCACAATGGTGTTAGGTGTCTGCGGGTCACTAGCTGTCAGAGTCTGACTGGCCTCTGTGTCCTGGAGTGTTGGCAGTCCCTCTGCAGGAACCTGCAGTGCAGAGCTGAGTTGCTCCCTTTTATATCCGGGTTCCAGCTAGAGCATGCCTAGCAGAGCCAAGGGGACAAGACCTCCTCAGCCCACAAAGTGGGATTAACCCCTGCTGAACCACTGCAGGGCTGGTATACCCTGTCACACTCCCCATTCAGAAAATTTTAAATTTTCTGAGGAAAAAAAACCCCAAACCTGAAAACTTACTTTATTGTTTCATCTGAAAATGTTTCATTTTTGGGGTATTTTTTTGAGGAAAGCAGACACTTGCTATAAAAATTTTCATTTAGCTAGAAATCCAGTTTTCCATTTAAAAAAGTTGAGATGGAAAATTTTTGGCCAGTTTTAGCCTTTTATGTACAACCCTGAGTAAGTTCATAAATACACACCAAAAGAGCAGCCTAACCATAAAGTGAGAGAGGGTTTTGAAATCTTCAGATGGAAATTGCCTTCTATGTGTGAAATGTTACTGTTTTTATTACTACTAATGCCTTCTATCAAGTTAAATGTCTTCCTTTGGACTTTTCAATCTTCTTCTCTCTTAGAGGTAAATTGTGACTTGTGCTATGCAATCATACAGTGTAAGAGCCCCACCTTATACTTACACATACTTATCCATCTGGGCATGCTGAATAAATAGGTGTTGCGCACTGGCTTACTCCTCCCTCAGTTTAGGTGAGTAGGGATGGGCAGGAAATGACTCCATCCCTCTGACTTACTGACCAGTACAGCTAAAGTGGCATGGGGTGGGAGGCAATCATAATTTGCTTTTTCTCTAAGCCTGCAGCAAATTATTCCCTCTCCTTGAACAAGGTAGAAGCCGAGGAAGAATTATGACTTTGAATGCCTCCTGGGGCTGCTCCTGGATTAATGCATATTATGCGCCAAAAGCCCTAATGTAGATAGCCCTGCTTAAGTACAGCACCTCATTTTTTCAAATGAATTTTCCATGTTAAGTAACTTAACGTTTATTTCCTTCCTGCAAGCACAGCACTTTACAGTGAACCAATATGTACTTTTTGGCAAGATCATCTTTTTTGAGAGGAATGTTCAAAGGTAAGGGACAAGAATTTAAGCCTATGGCTCATAGTAGAGCATGCCACAGGCCCCGTCAGTATCCAGGCTGGGCCGGGGAAAATAATGATCCAACCAATGGACCAAATTCGGTGATGAATCTTGGTCACGTGCCACCTGAGGCAAGTTGCGCACACACTAAGAAGAAGAATTCCCACTGCATATGTTATTATTGGTACTGTTTATCATACCTCACTAATTTTGCAATAAAAGTTGTAAGCATGTGGACTTGGAATTGGTACAATACCTACCGTATATCCAAGGTTATTTTGCTTTGAATGCAACCAGTGATTATTTCTCACCTCATCAGCCAGAATGAACATCTGCTCTTTCAAGTGTAAAGAAGACTGCAGGGACTAAAGAAAATTTTGCTGACAAACACTTTATATAATACATCTTGGACATAATGTTTAAATAATGTTATGATGTGCCATCCTGTGTAGATCATCACTTCATTTACAATGCACTGTATATAACACAGAAGAGTTAAGCTTTAAACTGCTAGCATAAGGTAAACAAGGTAATTGCTTTGCATAAGTGATTCTATTCATATACTGTACTATAAGCCTTGAAAATGTTTTGGTTAAGAAATTGGCACTCAGTGTAAACTAGCTTTCATTAAGCACTTAGGGCTTGATCCTGCATTCACTGAAGTCAAAGCAAAACTCCCTTTGACTTCAAGGATGTAGGTAGAAATGGTCTATAATTTAGGAATCTTATCCAAGAAGTTAGGTGAACTGAGCAGAGCAGCAGAATTTTGCAAAATATTACAATTTTGTTTTGCCAATTTTTCTCTTCTGCATTTTACTTCCCTGAATTTTGTTAGTTTTTGGTTTTTTAATTTGGAATATATCCTAGCTGCTAATCTTTGATAAACACAGAACCATCAATATAAAACTTACACAGGTACAGGGTTGATTCTCTCTTCCCTTTCACCAAAATGTTAGTTAGTCATTCTTACACTAATCTGAAATTTCCAGTGAGTCATAATCCCTATTTGTCATCTGAAATTCACTTGAACTCTAACAATCAATACCTGGCGGGAAAATAGCAGGCCTTTAACTCAGCCAGCTACTAAGTGCCAGGAAAACATCTAAAACCTTCGCTATTATAAACTGTGGAAATACCTTAGAAATGTAATGAAAATAAAGTGCTTAGCTTTTGATGTGAGGAATACTATGTCTAAACTTATTGCATATTGTTATGGATAAAATGTTCTGTTTACAGTATGAGGCTAGAATATTATTCTAGTTTCCCCAGCATGAATCCAGAATAGCTCCACTGAATTCTCTAGTTTTGAAGAAGGCTTTTTTCCCCACCTCCATTGCTGTAAGTATAGCACATTGAACAGGACTTTAATCAGAGAGATGCTTTTTTGATAATAAGTAGTTCTAGTCCAAAAGCTAATATAAACAATAACATGATCTTGTGGATTAATTTTTCCATGAGTTTATAATTTAAATTTCCTATTTTGGTTAAATCTTACTTTTCAATCCTTCTCAAAAATAAAACTATACCTCCCCCTGTAAAATGTATTAAAGTACAGTTTAAAAATATAAGCAGCTCTGCTTTTGCAGAACTCTAGCTTCCAGATACAATATAATATGGCCTTAATCAAAGTCCACTGAAGAAATCAGATAGACTTCCACTGACTTCAGTGTGCTTTGGATCAGACTCTGGATGATTAACTTGGTCTTCCAGTGAAGAAACCCAACCTTTTTTACTTAATTTTTATGATGTTTTTTCCTCCCACCTTGTTCCTTTCAGTTTTCTATTCCTTCTGACAACTTTTTCCCCATGCTGGCATTTATGAATAACGTGGCTATATAAGAATATAGTGTTTTCCTGCCTTAAAACTTTAAATTGTTGTTTCTGTGTGGATCATCCAGAAATTAGTTCCAACCTGTTGCTGGGTTGAAGCCAGCTGTAATTTTGTGCAAATTTAAGAACCAGTAGCACAGACTCCCAGATGATAATCTAAATCAGAGGTTCTCAAAGTGGGGGTCGGGACCCCTCAGGGGGTCGCGAGGTTATTACATGGGGGGTCACAAGCTGTCAGCCTCCACCCCAAACACTCCACATTGCACCCAGAAGCAAACAGGAAGTCAATGCAGAGGGAAGACCTGTGTTCATGTTGCTCAAGATTGCTCACAACGTGGACAGCTGTATTCTACACTAACTGGAACTTGCTGGCAGAATGTATATGTATCTACATGCAAATAAGTACAGCTATAAATAGCCACAACATCTCTTATTTTAGTGATTTAGTTATTTGATGCCTGGTTAGTTTTTCTTGCTTGTCTTATTGCAAACAACAAAGCATTTTTTTTTCCATCTTCTCTCTGTCACTTTCCATCAGCTAGTCCCTTCATATAAGATAAAAGGCAACTGCTTGAAAAGCTGTAACATATTTATATCGTGGTTGTGATGCTTTTCTCTGTGCCCCTCTGATCCTAGGAACTGAACAGATTCATTCTTTATAGATCTATCTGCAAGTTTAATGCCTTCTGGTTTCTGTGACATTTGATACACAACAAGCAAGCTCCATAAAAAAAACACCCAAAGGCAG